AATGCGTAGCAGTACTGTTCTTGCCAGGCATAAGTCCATCGACATACGACCAATATAATAAAATATCAATTTTCCTCTCAAAGAAAATAGGCCTGGAGGTTCTGTCCACTTCTCTGGCAAACAAGTCAATCAACATCAGTTCCTTGTAGGGGTAGGAATGTAATTTTACAGCCGCACTAATAAAGTCATTCTCAACCTAGACGTCTAAATATTTTAGGACGAAGGGAGTATGTTCTAGTGTAATTGGGCTCAAATGAAGCAAATGACATGCAAATGAGAGAATTAAGTCCAAGGCATATTGATAAAATGCATCGGTGACAAGCATGTGCTGAATATGATGAAAGAGATATGGCTTCATGGTTATCTATTGTTCTCTCATATGAAGCTCGATCATATAATGCAATATGAAATATGGGTTTCATGACACATGAATTGGCAAGCATGTGTGCTAAGTAAAGATGAGATAGTTGATTGCACATGGGATGTTCTCACTACATGAAGCTTGCTAGTTCAAAATGAGTAGAAGACAATAATGTAAATGAAATGAGTTTCATTGTATGCTTAAAGTTGATTTGAAGCAAAATATGACTTTGATGGCTTGATAGAATGAAGATAGCAAGGGAAGGTCTTCGAGGGACTAAGCGAAGGTGAAGGGCAAGCGATGGCTTGGCGACTGAGAGACCAAGGCCAAGGTGGAGAAGAGAGTACTTGTATTGAGTCGGAGTACTAGTCAAGCTATGCAAAGTCAAGTTGATGTGGAGGATCAAATCATTGACAAATTATTTGGAAAGGTGAATTTTGGATAAAAGGTGTAGTCTTGATCAAATGGTCAGAGAAATCCAAAATCACAGCTCAAGGTGATTCAGCTCAAAGCAATTAAGGTGTTGAAAACCCTCAAATGGTTAAAACCAAGAAAGCATGATCAAATAGTTTAGACTCTCAATCTCTTGTTCTTGATCCTCCACCTTCTCCATGAGCTTGAGCATACTAGCTACATAATATCCCCTTGGTCCTAGAACAACTCTACATCTCTGTTTTTTGGGAGACAAACTTTTTAAGTTGTAACTAGACGGGAAATATTACTCATATTTCTATCTCATAATATGTTTATTATGAAAGTATGTTCTATTATTAGTCTAATAATACTTATTATGTATCTTAAATAATAGTATATTTTTATGTATATTTGGTCAAACTTAAAACTCCTCGAAAAGTAAGACGTGTGGTTATTTTAGGATAGAGGGAGTATGCATTTGTTCTTAACATTTTTCCAACCCTAGAGTTGTATTCCTTTTAGAGGAAGGTTATACTTGGTTAGCCACGTATAGCCAGGAATGAAAACGGACATAATAAATCCGTCCTATTCCATTTTCTATTTTTGTTTCATTCATTTTCATATTTACAGAAAATACAGGAACGCAATGAGAATGGTAGAAGGGTTTTGCCGCTTGTTTTTGTGGAGTTTTCAATCTATGTGAAATATGTCTAACAATTAAATGTCTTTTATGCTAATGCTAATATACCTACTAATAACTAAGTATACATGTTAACATGTTGAGACACATGGCATGCAAGTGAATATTAGATTAATCTCGATACATGTATCATACATGCATACTAAGAACATTAGATCATATCATCTTAACTTAAATTTTTCGATTCTTTGTCCATTTTTGTTCGTTTTCGAATGTCTATAGATATAAGCGAATTTGTTCGCAACCTCACAAATAGACTTATTTTTTTTTGCATCCATGCCACTTACGTCCCTTTATCAAACATCTCAATTTTGTTTTCGTCCGGCTTTTTTAAAACCCGATCCTCTTTCCATTAGAATTAGAAATATATATATAGAAACGAAACCACAGGTAGGTTTTTCCACATGTCTTGTCCATTTCCATTTCTATTTATTTATAGTGTACTCCCTTCTTTCACTGCTCTTTCCCTCCAAAAACAGAGACCGATAGCAGATGGGGGAGAAAAAAATGGGAGGAAAAAGGGCTTTGATCCACGCCATTGCTGGTTCTTTGGACGGCTGAGAGGTTGCTACTGCTTTTGTTGTAGCAGTGGTTACCGCTGCACCCGGTCCTGCTCCTCTATGTGGGTGGCAGCCAGTTTTCGGATGGTCCGCGCTACAGTTTTTTAATGGTTTTAGATAATTGAATAGTATTTGTGAGAGAGAATAAGGGCTTGTTTGGTTCCTTTCCTCATCCTAAAATTTCTGTCACATCGAATATTTGGACACATGCATGGAATATTAAATATAGATTAATTACGAAACTAATTGCATAACTTGCGACTAATTTGTGAGACGAATCTTTTAAGCCTAATTTATCCATGATTTGACAACGTGGTGCTACAGTAAACATGTGCTAATGATAGATTAATTAGGCTTAAAAAATTCGTCTCGAAAATTAGCCACTATCTATGTAATTAGTTTTATAATTAATTTATATTTAATGCTCTTTATTAGCTTCTAAATATTTGATGTGACCTAAATTTTAGAAGCGCAAACAATCACCCCCTAAGCTGAAAATCAGTCGTACTTCAAGGCTGACTTGATCTCTCATGAAGGCTACTCCAGCCAATCAAAGGCTGAACCTGTACCTAACGTAGATAAATGACCAAACGAATCTCCCAATGGTCTCTCTCTCATGACTGTTTCGGCAGCGCGGCAGCTGCAAACTGTCACTCTACCCACAGTGTTTACTCCGTACTCCGTAGCGCCTTGCACTGTCCACCGCCGCCGCTGCAGCAGCTGCGAAACCAAGCAGCCGAATCTTGGCATCCTGCGGTGTTTCAGAAAAACAAAGATTCTGATCCTTCGTGCAAAAGCCGCCAACGCTGAAAGGCTGTTGCCCCAATTTTTTATAATTTAGTCTCTCTTTTTTTAAAAATTATGTTTGACCTCTTAGAGATATAAACTCATCTTTGAATTCTGGAGTCGGTGCTAGGACTCATGGCTCCGAAGTAACACGTCTAGACGCCACAGATCTTGGCTCCGAAGTGTCTGGCCGTGCACAGCAGGGCATCCTAAGTGACGTTGACGTGGCCGGTACCTTAAAGCCACGTATCTTGGCTCTGAGCTCGAAGCCATGGATCCTGCTCCCGAGCATGGATCCTGGCAGACTCACAATCATGTCCTACCTGAATGCTGCTAGTGTCATTCTGAAGCTACCTTCAGTTATGGACTTCTAGTACTTGATACCAAGCAAGCAAATGCATATCTGAAGCTCATGTTACCTTCTCTCGCAACGCATCTGGAATGAGCAAGCTAAAATGGGTCATACAGGAAAACATGATGCAAAACACGCAATGCTCCCGTAATCACATGGAGAAATGGAAACAGAAATGAGAATACTGAAGAGCATCAGCCTGTGGCCGTAAACAATCATGGATTATTTACTGCTGGCTGGTTTGATATGAGAGAAAAATATTATTCCAACTTATAATCCACGATCGTATACGAGCAAGCGAACAGGCTGCATATAAAATAAGTAAAGTATAGTGAAGAGTATATACAGAATAAGGACTAAAGACGAATTGATCAATAAAAGTCACTTCAATCCATCATACATGTATGTTGCATCAAAAAGGTTTTCACTACCATTAAAGTAAAACGAAATCAAAAGGCATGACAGGCAACAGAGCAAAGTAAAACAAACCCTTAAAATCCATTGGTTCAGGTTCATACATTCACAGACATTGAAGGAGCATATGATACAATGGAAGATTCAAAGGAAGAAAATGATTCCAAACATCCAATACAAGTGCAATGGTACTATGAGACTTTGGAAATCACATTGTTTGTTTTTATAACTCGCTTTGGTTTGTCATAAGAGTAATTTGGTAATTAAATATATGTTTTTTGTTTCTTTAATACATGGATTAATTAAAGTAGTTGCATGTTGCATCTTGTTTCCTCCTGATTTTATATCAGTATAATATCATATTATAATACTAATTTGATTCAAAATAGTTTTATGAAAAATATAACACTTCCCAGAAAAATGAATTAATTAATATGAAATAAATTAAAACATCAAAATACAAAGGCCTAAGAAGAAGAACAGTAATTGAACTATGATGGTTAACAAAATACAGTAATTGCGTTTCGCATAAGCTTAGTTCAAGAAATTTCAAAACATGAGATGGAATGCACCAAAGTCCCCAAACTGGACATTATAGATTTAACAAGGGCAATAATGAATACAAATAAATATAACCTTGGCCGTGGGTTTTGAATCCATGCTCGACGCCAGGATCCATAGCTCCGAGCTCGGAGCCGAGATCCACGACTCCGAGGTCGGAGCCACAGATCTTGGCGCCGAGGCCGGAGCCAAGATCAGTGGCTCCGAGGTACCGGCCACGTCAACGCCACCTAGGACGTCCTGCTGTGCAAGGCCAGACACCTCAGAGCCAAGATCTGTGGCGCCGAGACGTGTTACCTCAGAGCCATGAGTCCCGACGCCGACTCCTAGGGTCCAAAGATGAGTTTACATCTCTCGGGGGTTAAACGTAAATTTTCTTAAATAAAAAAACTAAATTGTAAAAAATTGGGGCTGTGGCCGTGCAGCAAGCAAAAGCAACACTAGTACACGCAAGTAATACGTTCCCCCCATATTAGTTTATATATATCACTCAAATAACAAAAAAAATCATTATAATAAAACAGCCAAAAGAACACAAAATTCCTATTAAGAAAACCAAACCTTACTTAACCCACCGTTTTTTTAAATAAAGAAAATACCACAAATTTAGGCGGATTCAACATAAATAAATCAGAAGACTTTACGCCCACGTTAATCAGTCCATAATGAGCGCATAATAAACGGCAGCGGCACCGCCTCCCAGCATCAACCTCCTCTCTTCGCCCTCTACCCCTGCGCCTTCATTGGCTTCTCTTGGGTTGCTCCCCGTATCCGGGCTACCAGTCCAACGCTGCCGCACTCTCACTGAACCCTACCTATCCCATCCACCCGTCCCCGCAGCCGCGCCCCGCAATGGCGCGCGGTGCCGCTAGAAAGCGGCGGCGCGAGTCGTCGCCCCCTGCAGCCGCCGCCGCGGCACGCGACGGGAGGAAGCTCCTCTTCGGCGAGTTCGTCGAGGTGAGCGCCATCCGTACCGCCGTTTGCGATGAGGTCCACCGCATTGGGGCTTGGCGATGGTCCGCGGGTGATGGGCTGGGTGCCTGGGTTTTCGATTTTATTGCATTTTCCAATGCTTGAGGCCACACCGCCCATGATCAGGGTCGTGACCAGGCGATTCTCGGTTAATCTTGATACCGCGCATTGGCCGTTCCGCGGCCGGGGATGATCGCGAGGCTATCCCGCCTATCCGGATGGTTATTGGTTAGGAATAGCATGCTTTTGTTAATCTGGGGTGAAGTGGGTGCTTAATTACATATTTACATGTATTCTTTTTAGTTGTTCTGCGGAGTTTATATTGGGTGGTTGGATTGACCTTATCTTCCTCATGCGGAAATGCTGACAAGATTAGTAGAAGGCCACACCGCCCATGATCAGGGTCGTGACCAGGCGATTCTCGGTTAATCTTGATACCGCGCATTGGCCGTTCCGCGGCCGGGGATGATCGCGAGGCTATCCCGCCTATCCGGATGGTTATTGGTTAGGAATAGCATGCTTTTGTTAATCTGGGGTGAAGTGGGTGCTTAATTACATATTTACATGTATTCTTTTTAGTTGTTCTGCGGAGTTTATATTGGGTGGTTGGATTGACCTTATCTTCCTCATGCGGAAATGCTGACAAGATTAGTAGAAGGCCACACCGCCCATGATCAGGGTCGTGACCAGGCGATTCTCGGTTAATCTTGATACCGCGCATTGGCCGTTCCGCGGCCGGGGATGATCGCGAGGCTATCCCGCCTATCCGGATGGTTATTGGTTAGGAATAGCATGCTTTTGTTAATCTGGGGTGAAGTGGGTGCTTAATTACATATTTACATGTATTCTTTTTAGTTGTTCTGCGGAGTTTATATTGGGTGGTTGGAGTGACCTTATCTTCCTCATGCGGAAATGCTGACAAGATTAGTAGAAGGTTATGCCACATAGACGGCTATCAAGTCACAACAGCGATACGGCAGTGAGCCTTCTTTATGTACGTGCAAATAGTTCAGAATCTTGGCTTCTCGCTTCTGCCCTCAGTGAGTTCCGATAGTATTATTGACATCTAAGCAAAGTGCCTAATTGTGCGTAATTTGTATTATTTATATTTCTTCAATTCGATTTGCGGCTGATGCCAGTTACCTCTGTCTGTTGGCCATTGATGCCTGCCAATTGGGCTGCCTTGCATTAGTTAGCTAGGTAGGAATTACTTAAGTGTTATATCACTGTTTATTCTTTTATGATCCAATTTGTTGCATGCATGGATTGAATTTGACCTGTCAATGAACCACTAATGTTCTACTACCCCTTTTAACACACCGCTTGTGTTCGTTTCAGAATTCCAATGTGTTTCATTGTTTTTGTGACTTGCTGATGATTATGGGATATGCCAACCCCTGGTTTTCTTTTTGCACTGTCACTATGTCTGCCCTCACACTGTGGGATGGAAGTGTCCGAGTTATTCACTGACATCTTTCTATTCTGTAGGTGTTGAGTTGTGATCCAGGGCTATGTGGCTCCTGGCATAAGGCTGTTGTTATTGGTATCCAGGAAAATGCTCGCACCGTAAGATATACTGATTTCATTGATGAAAATGGATCGCCCCTTGTTGAGAATGTTCAAGTGTCCGATGCCATTGATGGCAAGTCAAGCATGCCTGAGGAAGTCATTCGTGGCAATGTTAGGCCAATGTGTCCACATCAACGGCTGCAGGTATCTCATGCAAGCTATGGACTCTGTGTTGATGCACTCATAGAAGGTTCCTACTGGGAAGGTGTTATTGCTGATCATGCTGAAGGCTCTATGGAAAGGAAAGTCATTTTCCCTGATGAAGGTGATGAATGCACTATCGAAGTCGATCAGCTACGTCTTACTCAAGACTGGGATGAAGTTACAGGGAAATGGAAACCACGTGGAATCTGGTTGTTTCTGCAGATGATTTTGTCACATGAAGAGAGAGATGGTTTACCTGTGTCAGTCAGGCAGATATGGTTTGACTTAAGATCCAAACCTTCTTTTAAGACTGATGCCAAAATGTGGATGCGTGGAACAGAAGAATTTTGGGAGAGATCACTTGCAGATCTCATTGCTGAATTGTGGTCTCTATGTGGCAAGCCTACCCTAGATGGATATCAAGTGGAAGCAGTCTTTCAGAAGGACAAAGTTGAGACCACTGTCTTGGATAAGCTGGATCCATCCCAAGCATTATCAGAATACATCTCATGCTATCGCAATAATAATAGGAAAAATGCTCTTATCAAAAAGGAGTTGGCAAAGCAACACCTTAAATCTTTAGGATGGACCTTTCTGGATGACCATCCTAAGAACAAGTTTTACATCTCACCTGATGGTAAGCGGTTCCCATCTTTTCTAGGAGCATGCCAGGCGTGTTTGGCTGCAAAAGAAGCAAATGATTGCCAAGATGATTATACAGAAAATTTGCATCTAGACAGTATTAGTGTGGTGCACAAGAATGCATGCTACAACCCGATGCGCATGGATCTTGCCTTGATAAAGAACAAGTCCAATGATAAATGGATCACGACTCCAGGATCTTGGGAGTTGGTTCAACTCGATGCTGAATTTTCCCCACAGATAGTTTCTCTTCTTGCTAGTTACCAAGATGGCACTACTGTTCTACAGAGGAGCATTGACAGAACTCTGAGTGTGAAGCTGAAGAAGCATCTACTGGCATTGGGTTGGAGTATTAAGTTCAGAACTGATGAAATTATGCTAGGAAATGGCCATCACAGACATATTCCGAGATACCGGTATGAGTCACCTGATGGGAAGACTTATGTTTCTATCATTCAGGTAATATGCAGCTTGATAGTTGGAGGCGTTAAACAAGATATAATAACTGACAGACACAACTATCGGACAGCACCAAAAGGTTTTCATTCGACAGTGTCAACTGACCTGGCAAGGCTCAGTAAACGTAAAAGAAGGGATAAATCTGATGCCCTTGAAAAATACATAGACTATATGGAAGCTGATAAGAAAAATTCCAGGAGGAGGAAACTGTTGAGATCAAATGCTAAGAAGTTTCTCAAATCTGCTGGGTGGAATTTTTGGTTAAAGCAAAAGTCTAGAAACAAACTGGAGTTGAGGTATGATGCTCCACATGGCAAGTCTTACAACTCTCTAGTGGCAGCATGTAAGGGTTACCTGGAAAAAGGATATCAGGAGGACAATGACGCAGACATTGAAATCGCCAACCATGGTTCTGCTGATGGTTCTATGCATCCATCAAAGTTGGTAGCACTCAGTGGTGATTCAAGTAAAATGCAGGGTATGCCTGTTGTGGACAGATGTAGCAACATGTTTACCTTGTCTGCACATCATGGAAAATGTAGGAAAAGAAAATCATCTTCAATTTCTTCGGACAGAGCACAATATCTTCGTTCAAGACATGGACAGATCCTTTCAAGTGAGCATCGTGTGAGGACAGTTTTGTCTTTGTTGGTAAAGAAAAAAATTGTGGTACCAGGGTATAAGGTTACATATAAGCAAAGTGATGGACCTGGGATAAAGGATGGTTCCATCTTCAGAGATAGAATAAAATGCATGTGTTGTAATGAAATATTCACTGTGGAGAATTTTGAGGTTCATGCTGGGAGCAGTACACCATTACCTTTGGCTCATATGTTTTTAAAGGATGGAATGTCCCTATCACAGTGTTTAGTTGAATTCATGGGTGGAAACAAGCCCAGAGATCCACATCCACTGCATGTACGCTTGAAGGGAAAAAATTCTGATCTGGAAAGTGATTCAATATGCTCTGTGTGCCATGATGGTGGGGATTTATTACTTTGTGACAATTGCCCATCATCTTATCATCATGATTGTGTCGGTTTGGAGGTAGAGGTACTCCATTATCCTATTCGAGTGAATTTATTTACTTAGTCTCGAGTTTCTATCTGCTGGTACCTCTATTGTTGCAACTTGAAAACTTCCAGTAGGTAGCCTGGTAACATGACAGTTTTAGCCTTCCATTGGCTTTAGTTATATGGTTGTTGGTTTTTGATGAATATATTCTTGCTCAAGTGCCAATCCAGAACTTATGATCCCTTCTCTTTTTTGAGTATGATGAAGAGCATGTGCATCATATCATTGCTGTGTTTCTTCAGTTCTTATTTCTCCACAAGTTCTTCCTATTTGCACTTGCTTTAAGAAAGATATTTCAGTTGCATTCTGCTTTTGTAGGCCATTCCGGAAGGAAACTGGTATTGCCCATCCTGCAGATGCAGTATTTGTAACTTGAGTGATTATGATCCTGATACCAGCCAATTCACTGAGAAGACCATAGTGTACTGTGATCAGTGTGAACGGGAATGTATGCTTATTTCAACATTTATGTATAAAATGTTCCAGATTTTTATTTTGTGATTGCTGATTTCTTGTTCACTTTCTTTTGGTAGATCATGTCGGTTGCACTAGAAATAGTGACCATCAGCTTATCTGCCGACCAGAAGGTTGTTGGTTTTGCAGCAGGGGATGCTCAAATGTACGGTATTACTTGATTAAAAATGCTAACTTTTTACCTGAAATGACTTTAGAATATAATTTGAACTCATTCTTCTTATTATGATGTCTTTCAGACACCGAATGATTGATTCTGGTGTCCCATTCTATTGTGCAGGTATTTCAACATTTGCAAGAACTCATGGGGAAATCAGTTCCAACTCCAATCGAAGGCGTATCTTGTACTATCTTGAAATTTTGTAGAGGGAATGGCAGTGACCACGGTGATTATGATGATGAGATAATGGCAGACCATTATGGCAAGTTGTGCGTTGCAGTTGATATTCTTCATGAATGCTTTGTTACTATTATCGAGCCTCGCACACAGAGTGATATTTCTGAGGATATTGTCTTCAATAGAGAGTAAGTGCTTCTGGAACATTTCCATGCATCTGGTTTTATTTCACTTTCAATGATTCTTGCACTAATTACTCTCATGAGATAGACTCTGAATATTCTAGAATAGTTGATGCTTTATTTGTATTACAAATAGTCGAAACATAGACCATTTTTATTAAAGTTTAGATGTTTTATACTGAATTGCTTAAATAGAGGTACACTAACTGTAGTTTTGCAATGCTCATCAGCAAATTTGTTCTCTTATTTTTCTGTCCCCTTTTCATCTTCCACATTCTGGAAATTTGTTGAAATACCTGTTGTTTGGTTACATCTATATTCATATTATAAATTTATAAATGTTTGATGTTTCTTTGGCCATTATTTATTGATCTAGTGTAGACTGCTGAGTAACTTCTGTATATGCTTCACAGATCAGAACTCAGACGACTAAATTTTAGGGGATTCTACACAATACTTCTCCAGAAAGGTGGTGAACTAGTATCTGTCGGCACTTTTAGGTAGTATAACCTTCACAGTGGTTTTCCATAGTAATTGAACCTTTCATTAAGCATTTTGATCCATGTCTAGTTATTTCCTTTCCTGATTAGGATTTGCGGCCAGAAGTTTGCCGAGCTGCCTCTCATCGGTACAAGTTCTCCATACCGTCGCCAAGGAATGTGCCGACTTCTAATTAATGAACTGGAAAAGGTTTGTACTTGATATATTTTAAAATCATATGCAACAGTATTTTAGTTTAAATATTGTAACAAAAGCTTGTTTCGAAAAAAAATGTAACAAAAACATTTCCATTTGATTCCTCAAATACTCCTGCCATTACCATGGTGTTTGCTGAATAATTCACTTTCTTTTTTTTTCTTCTTACCAGTTGCTTTTAGACTTGGGGGTGGAAAGACTTCTATTACCGGCAGTTCCTGAACTTTTGGAAACATGGACATGCTCATTTGGTTTCACAGTTATGTCAAATTCTGATAGGCTTGAGTTGGCAGGGAATAGCATTCTCAGTTTCCAGGGAACCACCATGTGTCAGAAGATTTTAAATGTTGCACACAACATTTCACAAGATAAAAGTGTTCCATCAATGTCCAATTCTGAGAGAATGGGGTTGGCAGAGAACATGGTGGTGAAGAAGGTATTTGTTCCATTGACAGTGGAGCCAGACCATCAGGTTGATTTGATTGTGGAGCCTGAGCTAGTAATGGAAATTGAGAATAACAGCAGCAAAGAGGGTATTTCTTCAATTGATCCTCTGACTAGTATGCCAGACCCTCAAGTTGGTCTGACAGTGGGGCCAGAGCTGGTACTGGTTAGTCAGGAAAACAAAGGTGAAGAGGGTATTTGTTTCATTGATGCTCCAACTTGCACGCCAGATCCTCAAGTTGGTTTAACAATGGACATTCATGAACAACCATATGTCAGGTACGGTTTCTTCTATTGAGGTCAGATGGGGTTGGCTTATAAGAATTCCGTTTGTTCTTGCTTGACTGAACTCAAAGAGGTAACATTGTAGAATTTGCAAATGCTATGTAGATTTGATACTAATAGACAAATAACCAGTTATTATTGACCGAAACATAACCTGCAGTTATATTCTGTAAGACATTACATTCTCCTAGTTGGCAATCTGGTTTACTATCTATATTCACTTGGTGAGCCAGCATCTTGTTTATACTCTCTCCGTTCCAAATTGCAAGTCGTTCTGGCTTATCTAGATACATAAGTTTGACTATGTAACTGGACATAATGTTTATCTAGGAACATAGTAAAAGCTATGTATCTAGAAAAGGTATAATGACTTACAAGTTGGAATCGAGGGAGTAACAATTAGTGATTTCTTTAGTAATTTAATTAAGAATAATTATTTACTACAATCTTTAACATATTTTTTCTTTACTTGGTACTGATTGTGCTCCATTTCTAGTGCTGGTGCAGATCAGTGCAACCAGAATTGCACTTCGAATATAACAGTACGTGTATGCTCTGAGTAACTTCCTGATTATTTCTTGGGTAGCTGCTTGTGTTGCTTATGATAACGCTCCCTACATTTTGCAGCCTAACACAGCTTCAGGACTGAAATACAAGTTCTCAGGAAAATGCTATGAGCGGGTAAAAAAGGGCGCTCGCCCAAGGAATGTCTGGCTTAGAGTCTCGACCAAATAATAACCAAGGGTGGGTCCACTAGAGCTTTGGATGAAGGATGCTAAACTTTCATGCAGTAAGCTTTCAGCCATCGCCTTGGCGTTGAGTGCGAGTTGAAATTAACCTGACCTGGTTACGGAAGCGAGTGATTGTGTATTCTCCATGGTGTAAATTAAGGACTATCGAGCTGTTAACATACTGTCCAGCTACAAGGAAAATGAGACTATGTTGGAGCAATTTCTGGTGATGGTTTTACCCTGATCTGTAGTATGATCAGTTCTGTCGCCATACTGTTCATTGGCTGCAAACTGTATGCAGTTCCTTTTGTTTGACTAGACATTCGCATGGAGCTCAGCCTGAGCTTGTTGCTGATCCTGCACATGTGATCGATCAGGGGCCCTCAGGCGCGTTAAGTCACAAAGAGGTTAAGAGGGAGTAAAATTGGTTAGTGGTCTGTTTCTGGTGAGTTGGTGAGGGTGATGAGAGATATTCTTATCCAATCCTGTCACGGCAACAGAGCTGCTCCAACAAGCACACAGCAAGGAGTAGGAGAAAGCGGGGATGTACAGTACGCCCTTTCATAGTAGTACTCCTGTATTAGACTTAAGCTGTATAAACGAGCTGCAATATTCTTAGCCTGAGACTCGTAAGACCCCGCCTCCGTATCTGAGATCAGTCTGATTCCAATCTCTGTGAACTGCTCATGTCGCCTGTCTGATCTCGCCAGCGGTTACAGGTGGCGTCTGAGGCGGCGATCCTTTGGCGTGGGTTATCCAGTTGGTGGTGTCCAGCGTTGGTGTTAAACAAGTGGAATATGGCGGCACTTTTGCGGTGCACGGCATTGGCGGTTCTTCTACTTGGTGTTTCGGTCATTCGGTGGCGTGTGGCGGCGGCGCATCTCTTCGTGCCTGTGGCAGTGCTTGGCGGCGGGGATTCTCCGGTGGCTTTGGCGAGCTGATCTCCTTCCGATCTGCGTATCTTATTCACAAAGGGCAAACCATGTCCAAGCACAATCGCATAATACCTCCCACGAGCATAACATGCAACAATAGCAAATTCACTACACTACCATGAGTGTATAGAGTCGCCATAATATCACAACATATATAAGCAAACACATATGCATTACCTATACACAAATTTCAATCACTTTGCAATGCTAATTTTATCTCAAACCAAATTTTGATCAAACTTTAAAAAAATGACTTTAAAAACGAGATATACAGCCACTGGTTACACAGTAAGTATATTCCATTTCCAAGAAAGCACGAATTCCATGGCTTCAAATCTTTCGATGTTCCTACAACGACGTACGCCAAAGGGCAAACCGATCGACCAAAGGCAAGGAATCCACGGATTCCATACGAGTTGCGCAAATTCCAAAGGTGATATGATCTCGAACACGCTCACGTGAACTCCAGTCGGTCTAGCTAGCGGCAATTCTTACCCTCAAATGCACACCTCCTCTTCAATTGAACTCCTGACAATTAGCAGCGCAGCTAGATAGATTACTCGCAGAGGCGACGGGTTACTCGCAACTGGACTCGTGATTACACGTACGATTAATTGAGCAGCAGCATAAAGGGACCATTCAGAAAGGCGGCTTTGCCTCCGTTCTCTCTTTTCTTTGCCACGATGCTGCCGTCCTGCAGGAAGAGTGCTGCCCTCGCCGCCGTTGCGTTGTCTTCCTCCGTGCTCCTGCTCCACGCCTTCTTCTCTCTTCCGGCAGCCTCGGCGCTCTCCGTCGGGCTGGCGCGGCGCCACCGGCACGACGCCGCGCCCGGGCTGGCCGCCGGCTGCGACGTCTTCAGTGGCAGCTGGGCCCTCGACGACGGCGGCGGCTCATCGGCGGCGTACACCGGGTACAACTGCCCGCTCATCGACGCAGAGTTCAATTGTCAGCTCTACGGCCGCCCAGACTCCGACTACCTCCGGTACGTCTGGAAGCCGGCCGGCTGCGAGCTACCGAGGTACGTGCGTGGCAGTGAGCGCCAACCATGCCTCTTGAACCCACGGCGTCAGACACGCGCCTGCAAGCGTGCGTGATAGACTGATTACTTGTATTGTATACATATATCAGGTTCGATGGAGCGGACTTCTTGACGCGGATGAAGGGGAAGACGGTGATGTTCGTGGGCGACTCGCTGGGCCGCAACCAGTGGGAGTCGCTCGTCTGCCTGCTGCACGCCGCCGCGCCGCAGTCGCCGGCGCAGCTCGTCTCCGCGGACCCTCTGTACACCTACAAGTTCCTGGTATGTTATGTACATGTACCATGCGGCGTGCATGATAATTCAGAGCTTGGCCGAAGAGATTAATTAGGCCAAATCTAATCTAAATACGTTGTTGGAGCATCAGGAGTACCAGGTGACGGTATCCTTCTACCGCGCGCCGTACCTGGTGGACATCGACGTGGTCCAGGGGAAGCGGGTGCTGATGCTGGACGACATCTCCGAGAACGCCGAGGCGTGGCGCGACGCCGACGTGCTCTCCTTCAACTCCGGCCACTGGTGGACGCACACCGGCTCGATGCAGGGGTACGCACTGCGCAAATCTATTCGTGATAATCCCTCCAGTTTTGTAGAATTTGCTCTGAAAATGTGCGCGGTGGATGGATGCAGGTGGGACTACATGGGCGAGTCTGGTCGATACTACGAGGACATGGACCGCACGGTGGCATTCCAGCGCGGCCTCACCACCTGGGCCAACTGGGTGAACCTCAACCTCGATCAAGCCAAGACCCGTGTCTTTTTCCAGTCCATGTCGCCCACGCACTACAGCTATTATTCTCACCCGTGAGTCCGTGACTCCACGAGCCATCCCTTTCTGTGCACTGCCACGCTAGCGGCGTCCTGTCCAGACGCGCATATGCATGTACATGCACGTGTCGTGTGTTTTTTTTTATCATTCAGTTCATTCATTGTTTTTTCGTTTCGGCCTTTTTGTGCTGTGATCTCTATCAGCTCGAAGGAATGGCCCAACCCGGTATCGAAGAACTGCTACGGCGAGACGGCACCGGTGACTGGGCTCAACTCGACCGGCCAGGCCTCGGGCCAGGACCAGGTGATCCAGGCCGTGCTGCGGGGCATGAAGAGCCCCGTGCGTCTCCTCGACATCACGGCGCTGTCGGCGATGCGGAAGGACGCGCACCCATCGGTGTACAGCGGCGACTTCTCGCCGGCGCAGCGTGCCAACCCCGGCTCCGGCTCCGTCGACTGCAGCCACTGGTGCCTCCCCGGCCTCCCGGACACCTGGAACCAGCTCTTCTACACACTCCTCTTCTACAAATAGTAGTGACACTGACATAGGCACATACTCCGGCACTGGGCAGTGGGCACATAGCAAATCATCCACCCGTACAACTAGCACAACAGCTCGCTAGCCGTGTTGTCACAAACCATTTGATTTTTTTTCGGTGTGTGTAAACTGCAAAGCTAGTGTGACGTTGTATCACAGGAGTACACAATAGTTGGCGGGAGAAATGCGTCGATAACGTTTACATTGGAGTGAAGAACTACAATCTCGGCATCATTTGATCTCCTTTATTCACATGGCATTTGTACAATTGTACTCCACCGTACCCCATTTTTCGCAATAGTTGATCTACTGTGCTTTGCATGCAACAAGCTACGTACGCTAGACCACTTATAAATTTAAGGGCATGTTTGGTACTGATTCTCGAACGGCTCATGAAGCTATTTTTAGACGATGCCAGCCAGACTACTCCCTCCTAGAAGCGCTGGATTTCACGCTCTCTATAGCGGCAGGCATTTGAAGGAGCCGAAAAAAAACCAGCTTAACCTTACTCCTCCTTCGCGCTCGCGGGCCCAGGCGAAATTGCCCTTCTCTATGCACGTCAGCAACAACAGAGCGGACGACGAGTGGGGCTGGGGCGGAGGCATCGGTGGGCTAGAGCCCGGAGCGTCGGCGTTGGGACCAAGGCGGAGCAACGCCGTCGAGAGTTGAGGTGGGGCCGCAGGGCCGGTAGCGCCAGAGGAAGCTTCGAGCAGACTGGCGCTAGGGCAAAGCAGCGCCATCGAGGTGTGGGTGCAAGACCACCGATGTGCGGAGCGGTGCAGTCCACAGGGCTGCGAGGGCGTGACGTCATCGATGTAATATATAGAGTTATGAGATCCAACCCTTCTCTCGCTAGAGGCGAATCGCTGAAGGGGATGGATAGGGCCGAGGAAATAGGGGAACTAGTGGCAGACCCAAGGCCCAATAACCCTGGGCGCCCACCCGTTTTTTTGTGTTTTAGCCTTTTTTTTGAAAAAATTTCACAAATATGCCCCTGGAAGTATGATTTCAAAATCTGGACACTTAGCTCGGCGCCATCGTTGGTGGCGCTGAGCTTACACGTCTCGAGCTTACACGTCTCAGCGCCAAGCTCGACGCAGACATGGTGGTGACTTGGCAGGCAGCTTGGCGCCAAGCTTGACGCCGTAGATCTAGGCGCCAAGCCCTATCTTACGTATGGGCCCTCCCTTTCTTTCTCTCTTCCTCTCTCTCTACCGCTCCCCGAACCAGCGTTGCCGCACCGCCGCGCCCACGCCGGCCACCGCGACCGCGCTGGCCCCCGCCGTGTCGCCCGCCACCGCCTCATCCGTCCCGGCTCGCCGCATCCGCCGCGCGCATAGGCGCTCCCTCCGGTGACCCCGGCCGCGACATGGCCCCTGCTCCCAGCGCGTCGTGACCTCGCCGTCGATCCCATCCTCCACGTCCGCGTCGCATCGTTGCATTGACTTGGACATGTAAAATTTTTGAATATGCAATGTAGATACTTAGTTAGCTTGAATTGTAGTGCTACTTTGATTATTTGATAGTTTCTAGTAAATGACATGATGTAGGTAGTTGATTTAGTTAGTGAGATAGATATAGTTAGATAAATATAGTTAAATAGCTAGTGACATAGGTACATAGATATAGTTATTAGATAGCTAGTTGATTTAGTTAGTGAGATAAATATAGTTAGATAAATATAATTACATAGCTAGTGAGATAGTTATTAGGGTGTAGTTGATTAGTATTTATTAGAGAGGTACTATATAGCAACTACTTTGGACTAAACGAACTGTATTTTAATTTTTGTTTGAACTACTAGATGGACAATCTAGTGAGCATATATCATGGAGGCACCGTGGAAAGAGATCGCTATGGATATATTGAGTTTGTTGAGATGCAAAGCGTGCCTGTGTTATTCAATGAGAAGCCATCGTTTAGTGAGTTGGTTGCAAGGGCTCGGAAGGAGCTATATTGCCATGGAGCTGATGATGATGATGGCATCGCAGTGGAGGGTGTACTTGACCTAGGTTTCCCTCCCAACATTCTTAGAAAGATGATCCCAATTGGGTGTGCAGACCAGCGGTCATAACTGCGTTGGTTGACAGGTATTATCTTCAATCATCGTCTCCATTCATGGCCATTTGTTCATGCGCTTGCCTTTTTGACATGTAATCTTTGCTTTGTCTAAAATGTAGGTGGCGGCCGGAGACTCATAGCTTTCACTTGCCTTTCGGAGAGATGACAGTCACGCTCTAGGACTATCAGAAGATGTTAGGTCTGAGGATTCATGGCAACACAGTGACTGGGCAGTGCAGGTCAGAAGGTTGGAGAGCATGAGTAAATGCCTTTCTTGGGCGTGAGGTTGGCGAGTAAGGGGTCTCCATTGAAGACATTGAGCGCTTTCGTCCGACAGTCAGGGACGACGACACGCGTAGCTTTCTAGACGTAAGATTCAAAATATTCATTCAAACATATTATTAATACATTAAATTCTTTCGGTTAATATAATTTTGTACAACAGAGGCTGTCACGTCGGCTACGCCGTGCAGCTGCTCGTTGTGGTTGTAGGATAGCCACGATGTAAGACGTGCACATTCCTTCCGCAGGCAGAGGAGGCTTAGATTTCTCTAGCCAAGCACCTACAGGGTCCATAGGCATTGCGTATAAGGATGAGGAGGACGACGACGAGGAGGTGGACCAGAGGCACGAGGAGCTTGGTCCATCTCAGCTCCAGGACGCTCCGTTGACTCAGCCTACACAGCCTTCAGGCACTAGGCGACGCTGTCCACCTGACCCTTACACTCCAGGTACCAGCGCTCTTGGTCACAAGGGTAAGGGTAAGATTAAGAGACAACGAGGGTTTGTGGTAAATGTTAGTATGTACTATTATAGACTTTGTAGTTACTTTCCTATAAATATTTAGGACTGTATGGATATTGTGGACTATTTAGACTATGCATGACATGTTATGTTGATTGTGATGTTCGATGTGGTTGTATTGTGCTCTTTGGACGATTAAATGTTTGGATTATATAATGATGTCTCTGTTTGTAACCGTAGATGCTACTGAAATAAGGGAAACTCTTACGAATTTTTTCCGTGAATCATTAATTATACTACACTGCTAAAAAGGCACAAATGTAGAACACAGACTAAATGTAAATTAATTAGAACATGTATAGTCCAATCATATTGTACAGACGCTTTGCAGATGAATTTAGGCTTTTCAGTAACAGTAAACAAATCTAGGCTTTTCAGAGAATGAAAATAGACTTTTCAGTTACAAGGATGAGGAGTACGATGACAACAGTGATTTATCACTTCACTTATATAGTACACCTATAACATCTAGGCTTTTCAATGATTTATCATGTTAACCACGAATAGACTTTTCAGGAAACGAATCTAGACTTTTTAGTGTCCATTGAAATAGGCTCTTCAGTTAAACTAATTAGGCTTCTTGTGACCAGGACAACGAACAGGACGACAACAACAATGGTGCCGATTCACAGGAGGCACTCTGTAATGATCCATATTGCATCTGCCCTAACCACAAGAACAAGGGGCCTCCGCCGTCACCCCCGCCGCCACCACCACCAACAATGAGAGGCTACTGTGGAGAAGGTGCAACACAATTTGCTATGTGACCACACTACTAGGACGACCCTATCTTATTCACATGGCAGATCCATGTGTTTGTTGTTTGGTTTAATTACCTAAGGCATGTTAGGTTTAGTCGAAGGAACTCTGTACCCTAGTTTGGTACATGTTCTCACACGCCATTTCATGTGTTTTGTGTGTTGAATTATATAATGCCCTACTTCGTTAGGTTTTGTTTGCAGCACATGATCATATTTCACTACGTCCACAATATTATACTGAATATTATGACCACAAATAATGAAAACAGCTACATAATGAAAAGTCCAATACTATGCCACATTAAACAACACAATAATACTTGACAGTATGTGCCGACAGTAGACACTATTGTTCATGAATAAACCATAGAACTAGCAAGTCATGGAGAATACTGAGTGCAACGAGGCCACTTTCTCTTCCTCAGGGCATCAGGATTCTCCTCCATCGCTGCTTTCGCTTGACGTGCACGCTCAAGTTTCTTCTCCCTCTCCTCCCTGTACGCAATAATACGTCTCATTTCCTCTTTTTCCTTGTGCTCCTTTTTTGCAGCATCCTCTCCGCGTCTCTTCTCCATCATCTCCTTGTCCTCTGCCTCCCACCATAACAGTTCTACATCCATTTCTTGTCTTCAGGTTTTATCTCAGTGTTGATCCACTGCTCAAAATCATAGAGCGGTGGAGGGGTCTGCAAAAAATGCAATTGTTACAAAACAAAAAAATCATGCAAGATGTCATGACACAAACATCAATTCATCACCATCTTGTTAATGTAGCGCTGACGAAGTGTAGGCTCAAACACAAAATTGGAACACATCCAATACCTCTGCCTATACGTGTCGTCTTCATCGGACTTGGCTACTTTGCAAGGATCGCCGCAAAAGCACATGGGCACTGGAACACTGAAAGCATCTAGGCCCCTAGTTGGGTTTCGGTGATTAATGACAATACAAGATTACTATGACTAACGTGTGTTTTGCAGAGGCAATTAAGTTAGGTCATGGTAACGAAGATCAATTAGGCAATCAAAGTTGTCATGCCCCCTCAATGGAAATCGTTTCGGTTTTTAAAGGATGGACGACAAGGTTAAGGATGACTAGTTCTAAGTGTCGATTGGAGTTGGAGAGACACTTAGAGTAGTTTAGGACTTTGTTTTTCCTTTGGCCATTCTATTAAGGGGGGTATGGATGGGTAGCTTGACCTAGTTGAGTCTAGTGAGTTATGTGTGGTGCACACTTGTCAAAACTAGCTCTAGGTAGCTCCTATGAATGCCTAAGATTCTTTGGAGCAAACTTCATTCACATATGTTCAGAAGTTGGAAGTGAATGGAGGGTCAAACACTGACCGGACGCTGGCCCCGGTGTCACCGGA